ATACATACATACATACATACATATATATGCATACATATATATACACATATATGCATACATATATATACATACATACATATATACACATATATACATACATATATACACACACACACACACATACATACAACATACATACATATATACACATATATACATACATATATACACACACACACACACATACAGTATGTATATATATATATATATATATATATATATATATATATATATACACACACACACACACATATATATACACATATATACACACATATATATACATACATATATACATATTCACAGATAGCTTTAAATTAATAATGTTTCTGATAATGCAACCAAAAATGTAATTATATTTTAAACAACCAAACAGTAATGTCTATTTAGGAAAATACATTAAAGCTGACCAATGAAATCATTAAATTGACCAAGTGTTGAATTATAGGACGTGTGAAAGGAATAGTTCACCCAAAAATACAAATTTGCTGAATATTCAGGTCATCCAAGATGTATATGAGTTTGCTTCTTCATCCAAATATATTTTGAGAAATGTAACATTACATTACTTGCTCACCAGTGGATCCTCTGCAGTGAATGGGTGCCGTCAGAATGAGTCCAAACAGCTGATAAAAACATTACAATAATCCGCAAAACTCCAGTTCATCTATGTGTTGTGAAAAGCTAGGTGTTTTTGAGAAACAAAGCCATCACAAAGGCATTTTAACTTCAAAATGTTGCTTCTCGCCATAATCCATGATCCATAATAATGCTTCTTCCATTCAAAAATTCTGTCCCACATTAAAATCCACTGACTTGTTTGTTTAGAACTGTTTTGGACTGTTTGTGCTTAGAAACGGTGCTTGATCTGTGAATATTTCTCTCCTCATTCAGATGAAACTACTAATTTGTTCCAACAAAGAAACTAACTCATCTACATCTTGAGATGGCTTAAGTTAAATGCATTTTCATAAGATTTATGACTTTTTGGGCGAACCATTCCTTTAAAGAGATAAAGTAAGTAGTATTCAGCTAGTTACAGTATGTGTGTACACACCACTTTAAACATATTTGCCACAATCAGTGCCATTCATTCAGTTGTTCACGTTAGAGAAATATGTAAAATTTTCAATGGACAACTGACTCCAGGCATCTCCAAGAGACAACAGAACTTGTTTTTAAAATGTTTCTTTATTTTCTAAATTCTTCAGCATTTTCTTCCCATTGGCGGGAATGCATAAGAGACAGATTGGCTCAAACTTTGTCACAAGAAAAAAAAAAAAGTTTTGCCTTTTCATATTTTGTTAACATAATTGAATCATTTGCAGATCATCATTGTGGTTTTCATATTCTGTTTATCAGAAAAGCTTAGTTTCATCTCCGCACCTTTATTCGATGAGGATATAGTCAGACGCCCTGCAAACAGCAAAGCATTTGGAAGTCCAGAGCTGAACTCAAGCCCATTTCCTCCAAGTGTAGATACAATCACCAACTGGACTTTTCCATTCCCTCTCTCTCCCCATGTATATTTTGGAAATTAGCTCTTGGATATTAGCAGATATTAAAACACAAACAGCAGTCTCCTCAATGGTGAACACCAGTACATTGACATCAATGGCTTCTGCACAGTTTCACTCTTGTGTTTTTGAATACTCTCTCAAAATACCCAAACCCTTCACTATTACTACTACCAACACACTCACCATTCTTTTCAATATCAAATAACAAGGCAAATAATCTGTGACATTTAAAAAACATTTCTGTATGCAACGCTCCATTCGGCTAACAGGTTTCAGATAAACGAGTATGTTCTTGGAAGTGACAGGTCTATAGAAAAGCCCTGGTGTCTCCAAATTGAGAAATATCCAGGTAGAGAAACACCGGCCACAGTGCAACAAATCCGAAAATCTGAACTCATGCCAAAAGGCCACTATACCTGCATCTGCAGAAGAACAGTCCCCCATCTTTTTCGTGGATGAAAACAAACATGGAATCATTGCCCTTTCAGAGAACCCACCAACCCACAAAATAGTTATATACATACAGGTACACCAATATATACACAATAAAGCCAGCCCTGAATGCAACAATAAAGGTCTGTGAAAGATCGACATCCTCGTTTGCAACTTGTGTAAAGCTTCTGAGAGTTGCCCTTTTGATATCAATGGTGTCCTGAAGTTTAAGAGGCCAGATGTTCAGAAGAGCCTAGCTAGTGGCCTCAAAAATTATTCTGATACTCAAGACCCACTTAAAAATGTCTGAATTCCATTAAATTAGATGCAATATGAATGAGCTTTCCAAATTCACTTTTTCTGAGCCATTTGTCTATTTTGATTGCTACTTGCATTTACTTGACACTTTATTATCTAATGCTAGGACATTCATACATTTTTAAATGTGGCTTAAGTGTCCCACTGTATAGGATAAGACAAAAACATCAAACATGGAAGTCCATGGAAAACCTAACTAAGTTAATCTCAGTGAAAACCTTCCAACTTGCTTAAAAAACAGGAATAGTCCATAAAGCATTCATAAAAAGGAAACTGCAGACCAGCTGAGGGGCGTTCAACTCATCACCGTCTACAGCGTAACGTTGCATAAAAACATCAACACCTCGAAAACAATCGGGTATCATTCCATCTACCCATCTAAACATTGCTAAAGCCACCTAGTCCACTATTACATCCATTTCATGCACTTAAAAATCACCTAAAACAACTGGATCAGACATATGAATTTGAGGCAGTTGGGTAAAATACTTAGCATCTGAATGATGATGTGTATTGTGTTATACACATTACAGAAGATTGTCATTCTTTCACAATTTAAAAAAAAAAAAGGAAGAAAAACCACATTGCTGTAAATGTGTATTTGAACCAGGCTTCTCAATTCCATACATCAATACAGCATTGCATCTGAGCATGTAAACCATGCTTTTTCAAGCCTTTGTGCACAGAGACTGCACATACAATGTGTTTTAATACTCTGCAATGCTTTAAAATCTCGAGGTTGCCTCCAAAGCTGGTTTGAGAGCTGTTTTGATGTATCTTCTGGTGTAATATTGATGATTTAGGTTCACATTCATCAAGCAGCACTGGAGGGAATCTCTCTCAGCAGCTGTGCTCTTGCGTTTCTCTGATATTGATTCGTTTCAGAGAAAAGATTCGCTTCAACTCAAGATATCGGCACCTCCGAATGCTGTTTCATCTTCAATAAGCTTCTTTTTCATCCATATCTCCATGCATTGTTGAGGGAAACATACAAAGGCTTGGGAGAGCATCCTCTTACAAAAAAGTACTGTGGCAGTACCATGGTATCATATGGTAATACCAAATTATATTTCAATGCTTTTGCATTCTCTTGTGTTCTCTCACACATCTTTCGTGATGGAAATAATACAAGTTGGGAAGAAAAGCTGTATTTGAGTGCTTTTACGAGCAAACACAAAGTTTCTCAGGGGAATGCAGTAGTTTGGGAAGAAAACGCAATTGTTTCGTGAATGAATGCAAACTTTCTCGGGAGAACACAATACTTTTACAGAAGAATACAAATGTTTCACAAGAGAACGCAAAGTTTCTCAGGGCAACGCAATAGTTTTGCGAGAAAACGCAAATGTTTTGTGAATGAGAGCAAAATTTCTCAGGGGAATGCACTACTTTTGCAAGAAAAAGCTATTTTTTTCAGAGGAACGCAATACATTTACAAGAGAATGCAAAAGCATTGAAATATAATGTTTCCTCCCATCTCATCACCATATATATATATATAAATATAATATCACACCATACTCAAACACCATGATATTCCATCCTGGCAATGTCAAAAAATTTGTCGCAATGTCGCAAATTACCTAAATTAGCCAAATATAGTACAAATAATTCCAGGGTATTATCATGGTACTTTCTGGTACTGTTTTTGTAAGCGTTACAAAAAGGAGTGGGGAAAAACATTTCATCCTTTGACATTCTTTCTCTTTTGGACTCTCTCCAAAAAGAGTGATCCTGAGAAATGTGAGGGAGAGAGGGGGAGGGCGATCACCCTTCAGCGGAATGAAAGAAGCGGCAACTTGCGCGCACATACACGCTCACGCACATTTAAGACTCGTTTAATCTATCGTTTCTCTCATATGATAAAAAACAAAAACATCTCAGTCCAATGAACAAAATGACAAGAAAAACAGTCCCAAAATGAAACCTAAAAACAATTCAGTCTCAGTGAGAAGAGAGTCATTTGGATGCAAGGTTAAAATGGATGGTATGAGAACAGAGGAGGTTCTCCAGTCCAACAGAGGAAACTGAGGGAGATGTGAGGGTCGTACGGCATCTTTAGACAGGCGGGTTTTTATAAAATAGCTCGGCTATCGCCATGCAGACCCCATTTTGAGGCAGGTCAGGCTTGTGTGTGTGTGTGTGTTACTTGTGTTCGTGCTGAATGAAGTGCTCTGCTGTTTATGGCTATTCTTCTGTAAAGCGGCGATAATTCTGCCAAGTTGAAATTCAAGGTATCAGTGACCATGGCGACCGGCAGAAGCAGCTTGAATTGTTGAGGTCCTTGAGTTCGACCAATGAGCCAGGGGCACCTGCCTGGCGTCACCAGATATATATGTCCTGCAGTTTTTGGCTCAGGGACAGATGCTATGCAAGCATGCAAATCAGCTTTACATGCAGCCCTCCACCAATGTTCACAGAGAGCAAGAGGTTTACTCATTTAAAGGGATAGTTTACCCAAAAAATTAACATCATTTACTCAACTTCATGTTGTTCCAAACCTATATGACTTGCCTTTTGCACAACAAATGAAAAGATATTTTGAAGAATGAAAGTCAAAGTGGTCCAATGTTGATACGGACAAAAACAGTCAAAAGATCCTCGAAACATCTTCTAAAGATTGTCGACAGATCTTCGAAAGATCCTCAAAACATTTAGTAAACATCTTTAAAACATTTATGAAACATCTGTGTTCCACAGAAGAAAGTCAGTCATACAGGTTTGGAATGACATGAGGATGAGTAAATAAATACAGAAAGTTCATTTTTTTGGGTGAGGAAAGTGAGGAAAAGGTCTGGTAATTCAACTTAATTCATCCTTAGTTACTGATCCTTAAGCAGTAAGTGTATTGATGTATATGCCAAATGCCAATGAATTGAAAGCACGTTTCCATTTTATGTTGTATTTGTCCGTTTATCTGTTTACATGAATCTAAAACTGGTAAATCATTTGCTTTCTTCTCTTTTTTAATGTATCACAGTTATTGATGTGTCTATGCATGTGTATTAGTGTTTGTGTGGTAGTGTATGCGTGTGTGTGTGTGTGTGTCAGTGTAAACTTGTAGGTGTGCTAAATCTTTCCAAAGGTTTTTAACTACACATTCCAAACCTCCAACCATCCAACCCAAAACAATGCCTCCACAACCACATCTACTGAATGTCAACATAACAACAAAACTAAGACACGAAATGAAAAGAAAATCTTGAAAGGATAAAAAAACTGAGGAGACCCTGCTTTTGTAATCCGACAGGGAGGCTGCAGTGACATGCTGGTGCCTTTGGGCGGGTTATCGAGCAGGCGAGAGAAGGGGTCGGACTGCCTTATAAGGGCGGGTTAAAGGTCGTGCCCTCATCACTGGGTGTGGCTGTATCGTCGCTAGGCTCTAGGCTGTCCTTGGGGCTCAGGGTGCTATCGGATGTGGGTGTGGCCTCATCCGAAGGGGGCGGGGTTTCGGGGGAGCCGTCCTGCTGTCCATTAGGAGTAACTGTGTGCAGGGGTTCGGGGGGAGTGAGAGGGGGAGTGTTGGTGTTGGGTTGGCTGCTGATGGGTAGCGAGGCTGGCACCGGCATGGGCTCAGTAGGAGTGTGGGGAACGCTGGGTACCGATGCCAGGGTGCGAGGAGTGGAGTTGTGCAGCAGGGAATCGCCCAGGCCCAGGCTGGAGTCGCTGTGCACCAAGGATGAGGTCTTCTCCACCAGACGCCACTGCATGATGCTCATGTCCTTGCCGCCCGTTGAAATCAGGTGACTGTCACTGTGCATGAAGCTCACGTTTGTCACGTGACTGCTGTGGGCACTGTACTTGTGGCTTGGGGCCTGCAATTAAATAATAAAACTAGTGAAATTCTCCTCAAATATTATCAACGTTGCACTAAAGTCCATATTGTGTTGTGATGTACAATGGATCAATAACATTCATTTAGAAAACAGATAGGGTGAATTTTCGCTAAAGTTTTAAAGAAAAGAAGTCCTGTAACTTAAAAAGTAACTGAATCAAATTGCTGTTCAGTGTATTAAAACAAACTGAATCTCTGAACAACTAATACACATCATGTTCTAAAATGTAAAAGTAAAGATACTCTTTAAAATACGACAGTAAAGTGATGTGACAGACCTTCGGTCTTGAGCAGGGGTACTGGAAAAGGTGCACTTTACAGAAGTCATCAGCCAGAGCGATCACCTTCCTGTTGTGAGATCGCACAAGGGCATTGATATCTGTCCCATCTGAACCTTCCGGCCAAACACCTGTTACACAGCAAACACAGAGACACATCAGTGTACAACAATGGGGTGTAACTAGCTAGAAGCCACACTACAAACTTAATTACGACATTCATCAGTAGCCTGTCAGTATCTCAGGTTGCAGCTTTTCCAGGAACAAGTAATGTTTCCCAATCTGAAGTGTGGAGTCACAAAAAATGAATGTATATTTTGGTATCATTTAGGGAGTCAGTTCAGTAAATCAGAACATTATTTATCCTATTTATTTATTTATTTTTTACACAATGAAGATGTTTCAAGTCATCACCCTTCTGTCCCTATCGTTTTTCTGCAGTTAAACAATTATGTTTATCACTATGTTTTAACTTATAGTGTTTACTTAAGTGTATACATTTGAATTTACTTTAAATTTTCATTTTCAAATTTTATTTAATGTGTCCAAATTTGACATTGAGATCCTAAATAAATAATTTTTTGTGCTTGATAAATGCACTTTTATGTTGGTGGTAATTTAATATTCTGTTAAAATCCATTTTAAACTGATAGCGAGAAGTAAGAAACTTAAAATCCTAACTTACTGTAACAAGGTAAGGTATTTTTGACCTCATCACTATAATATCCACAAGCACATACAGTGCACAGCATAAACGAGTACACCCCCTCTAAAACCTAACAAATTCAGCAATTACTCTTTTCTTAGAAGACATGTTAGGGTTCTTTGGAGATGTAATGTTCCAACAAGCCTGCTTGATCAATTACCAAAGATGAATGCCAAAATTATTCAGCAAAATAAGATTTTCTTATCAAAGTGATACAATTTTGTGTTGCAAAAATGAGTACACCCTCCTGAAAGTTACTAAATAAAAATTTTTTTTTTAAGGCTATTTTTGATCAACAGGTAAATATGTTGAACCAAAACGTTTAAAGACAAGTGATTTCCTGACAATTAAAAGTGTATATAGCCCACTGAATCATACTCAGACTTAATACTGGCAGCAGTGGAACCACTTGGGAGAGAACTGCCAGGTGACTTATTTCTTAGCATAAAAGAGGACAATGGTACAAGAGGAATACCAAATTATTGTTTTAAGTGTGAAAATATAGCAGAAGTAGCACCAACATTCAAAAACAATGGACTTGTGATAAGGCTCCTGAAATAATCAGGTCTTCACTTTAAGTTTTCATTTAGTGATGAGTGAATTTTTGCTAGAAAAAGAGCAGGAGAAACACTGTGAAAGTGTCTCAGAGCCGGCAAAAGCTATGAAAAGAGTGACACTTTATCTCACAGAGAATGACGCAGCCTGCAGAAGTGACATGCATGGTTGTTGTCACCAATATAATTACCTACAGTAGCCAAAGCGAAATCAAC